AGAACAACCGTCCAGCAGACACCAGAGAAGCTTCGTGTCGTTTCCACATTTGTCAGTTTTTACTCGTTTTCTCAGACGCCAGCGACAGAAACGCGGCTGTCGGTTTACATGGAAATACGACACGTTTGTGGGACTTTTGTGCGTCTGCGTGAACGTGTGCGTATTTGCATGCGAACTGTGTGAAGTTTGAGACAACCGGCTCTGCTGTTAACAGTCGGCGTGTGTGTCTGCGGTCGGCGGCATGCAAATGTCACGCGGGAGGCGTGTTTGTTCAGATTAACCAGAGCAAACACACACACAACAGACACACACACACACACACACGGCAGGTTATGAGAGCCTCTGATTTCTGCTTCAGGATTTATTTCTGCTCTCCAACTTTTGCGTCTCTTTTTTGTTGTCGTTTTTTTTGTCCATTTCTGCTCTTTTTGTCGTTGTTTTGTGTCTCTTGGTGTTTGTTTTGTTAGTTTTGTGTCTCTTTGTTTCCCTGTTTGTGTCTTTTTCTGGCCGTTTTGTGTCTCTTTCCTGCCGTTTTGTGTTTATTTTATGTCTCTTTTGTTTAGTTTTGTGTCTTTTGGTCCATTTGTGTCTGGTTCTGGTCCTTTTGTGCGTCCTTGTCATAGTTTTGTGTCTCTTTGTTTCTTGGTTTGTGTCCTTTTTCTGGACTTTTTGCCGTTTTGTCTGTTTTTACAGGTGTTGTGTTCATTTTGTGTCTCTTTCAGGCAGTTTTTTTTTTTTGAACTCTTTTTGTTATTTTGTGAGTCTTTGTGGTGATTTTGGACTTTTTGTGTTCATTTTGTGTCTTTTTTTTTGTTTAGTTTTGTCTCTTTCTGGTCCATTATGTCTCTTTCCTGCTGTTTTGTCTGTTTTCACAGGTTTTGTGTTCATTCTGTGTCTCTTTCCGTCTGTTAATGTCCATCTGGTCACTTTGTGCGTCTCTGTGGTGATTTTGCGTTTATCTTTTTCTCGGTTTGTGTCTTTTTCTGGCCTTGTTGTGTCTCTTTCTTGCTGCTTGATCAGTTTCCACTGGCTTTGTATCTTCATGTGTTCATTTCGTGTCTCGTTCAGTCGGTTTTAATCTTTTTTTCTGGTCACTTTGCATGTTTTTGTGTTCATTTAGCTCCTCTTTATGCTTGGTTCTGATTTGTGCGTCTTTCTGGTCTATTTTATGTCTTTGTCTCTCTGGTGTTTGAGTAATTTTTGTGTTTGCTCAAGTGTTCTGTCTCTCTTTGTGTTTTTTCTTTGGTTTTTGCATCTCTTTATGTGGTCTTTGTGTCTGTCTTCTCTCTCTTTGTGATCTTTCTGTTGTCTTTTTGTGTCTTTGTGGTCATTTTGCGTCTATTTTTCTTTATGCGTGTCTGTTTATAGTTCCTCTGATTCCCTCTGTGGGTTTTTTTGAAGCCATTGTGCATCTTTCAGCCCTTTTGTTTGCCTAGAGGTGATTTTAACTTTGTTGGTTTGTTTGTGTTGACTTATTGACTTACTTGCTGCAGTGTTCCAGACTTGTTTCCCTGGATTTAGCCTGTCAGGCACCACGCAGTCTGGTTATGAGCCTGCAGGCAGCGCTGAGGGCAAAATCTACACTTTCAGTCTTCTAAAATGTCGACGTTGCACAATTTGATCCCGCAAGAGAAGAGTCTAAAATATAAAAACAACAAATATTTGATGAGTTCTAAACTATGAAATTAGTCACCAGCTACTCTGATAGTTAATTAATGAGTTTGAGTATTTTCTGAATAATAAAAAGTCCAAATTCGGTGACTGCAGGTTCCTGAATGTGGATACTTCCTGGTTTCTGTCATTCTGGAGTAGTTTTACATAAACTGAGGCCATTTTTTTGGACTAATTTTGAGTCATTTTTCTTGAAGGTGTTATTTTGGTCCAGTTTTAGTCATTTTACACAATCTTTGAACTGTTCTGGACCAAACAAGATGTTGGTCATCTTGGACTTTAAGGAAACACTGATTCACATTGTTCTCCATTTTCTGACATTTTACAGACCAAACAACAAGCTGATCGATCCATAATCGATCTGTTAAATGCAGATTATTTCCTGTCGATGCCGCTGAGCAGCTCGCTGACCGTTTGTGTGTTTGTAGGGGAGGACAGCAGTCCGGAGAACCTGCTGCTTCACGGTCCGTTCTCCAGGAAACCCAAACGGATCCGGACGGCGTTCTCGCCCTCCCAGCTGCTGCGACTGGAGCGGGCCTTCGAGAAGAACCACTACGTAGTCGGAGCCGAGAGGAAGCAGCTGGCCAGCGGGCTGTGTCTGACCGAGACGCAGGTAGGCATCGTGGGAAACGTAGGAGGAAGGAGCAGGGCATGATGGGAGGACGAGGCTGGGCGGCAGCTCGTTATGGTGACTGTGAAATAAATGACAGCAAAGTAAAAAGAAAACAAGAAGAATGAAATTAATGGATTAAAAAACCCAAAAGTTACATAAAACATGAGGACTTGATGAAACCAGGTATCAATGAATTGAACTACTTGGATGGTTAATATCATGAAAATTCCCGTTAACGGGCTAATCGTAGTAGCATCGCCAATTACAATTGAAATGTTAAACAACAGCATCAATACTTACAGATATATATCTCCATCACTCTTAGAAATTACTTCAAACTACAAACTTATAAACACTAGCTCACTGCAGTGCTCGCTGACTGAACTATGGTAACCCCAGAAGGTCAAAAAGCACAAACTAAAAACTGAAAATCAAACCCAACAGGCTGTTGATTTTGTAACACTACAAAGCTGGTCTATACAGGGCAGCACAATGTGTGTTTATTTGCATAAACAATATTTATTGGGCGTTTCCTCGCATCATCAGTGTTTCTTCACGTAAACACTGGTTTCATGTGGTTTCTTCACTTGGGCGCCGTTTCCTCGAGTAAACAATATTTTTTTTGTGTTTCTAAGCGTAAACAGTGTTTTACTCGCAAAAACAGTTTTTTGTGTCAATGAGGTTTTGTGCTTCTTTGCGTGAACAGTTTCGTGTTTCTTCACTTGGGCGCTGTTTCCTTGCGTAAACAATATTTTTTCGTGTTTCTAATTGTAAACGTTGTTTCTTGGTGTGATTGATGTTTTTTTTCATAATTCTTGACTTGAATGTCGTTTTTGGTGTGAACATTTTTTGTGTGTAAATGACTTTTCGTGCTTCTTTGCGTGAACAGTAAAGTGGTGTTTTGTGTTTTTTTATGTTGCTGTGCGTGAACTCTGTTGCGTGTTTCTTGGTGTTAATGGTGTTTTTTTTTGCGTGTCTTCATGTTTCTTTGCTGAACAGTGTTTTGAGTTTTTTGTGTTTTATTCTCAAAAAGTATTTTTTTATGCAAGTGATTTTTGTGCGGTATAGTGTTTCTGTACTTGATGTGCGTTTATATGCTTAAACGATGTTTATTGGGCGTTTCCTCGTACAATCGGGGGTTCTTCGCGTAAACTGATTTTTTTTGAGTTTCTTCACTTGAACGCTGTTTCCTCAAGTAAACAATATTTTTTCGTGTTTCTCAGCGTAAATGATGCTTCTTCGTGTGATCAGTGGGTTTTTTTGTGATTTTTCACTTGAACGTCGTTTCTCGGTGTTAAAGGTGTTTTTTTGTGTAAATGACGTTTCGTGCTTATTTGTGTGAACAGTTTCGTGTTTCTACGCGTAAACGGTGTTTCTTCGTGTTTCTTGGTGTAAACACTGTGTTGTGTTTCTTTGTGTGAGCACTTATTTCTTCCTGTAAAATGTGTTTCGTGTTTCTTAGCGTGACCCGTTTTTAGAGTCTCTTCCTGTAAACGGTGCTTCTTTGTGTTCAAGGTGTTTCGTGTTTCTCGGTGTGAACGGTCCGGTTCGTATGATCGGCGTTCCCGCCTGTTGATGTCATTTTTTTGTGTGTTAAAGGTGTTTCTTGGTATAAACGGCGTTTTGTGTTTCTCGGTGTGAGCGGTGTTTTGTCGGATCTCTCGGTGTGAACAGCGTTTCCTCTCCGGGATAAAACCAGGTCTGTCTGACGTCAGTCTGTATTTCAGGCGGCTGGTTCAGATCCAGATCAGAGGAATGATGGCGGGAGGGATGAGTCGACGGTTAGTCAGCTTCCCGCCGCCTTTTCTCAGGAGTGATGGACGGTGTTTGTCATCAGGTCGCCGCGGTGATACGAGTCCTGACGCCAGCGAAACGCCGTGAATCATCCACGATTATTTATGAGCTGATTTCACAACCGAGGACAGGAAGGGAGAGAGTAATCCATCAGTCAGCCATCAGCGGTTATTAATCACACATAAATCACAGCTTTCTGCAATCAGCGTGCTTTTATAGGCAATAATGATGCAGCGATGTGCGTTCCTCAACGAGATTCAGGGCTTTGATCCAAATCAGCGTTAGCAACCTGAGGGCCACGATAACCTGTAGAGTCGCTGCTTTAACCCTTTTCTGATTCCACGTTAACTATTTACCGTTTAATGAATTATCAGCGCAGTAGAAGACGCTGGTTTGACCACATTTACATTTAATGTTTTCATTCCTCTCTGTTGAAAACAGGACAAATAAATCTGGTTGGTTTGGTTTCATATTGACATGTTAAAGTCCTGAGACACAAAGTACTGCTCAGAAACTTCTAATTTTACTTATAAATTAATTAATGACGCCGGTGTGGACACGACAGGGAGGCAAGAATGGCTAAAATGATCTCTAAAATCAGAATATTTGACAGAACAGGTGTGACAGGTGGTTAAAATACAAACAAGAAGTTTTTTTCTAATGGGATGATGATTAAAAAATACAAATAAAATGTAAAATAAGAACTTAGATATAAGGCAAAGATTCAATAAATAAAGTAATTAAAATGTAAAACTAAATGTTAATTATGTCTAAAAGGTTTTGAGGTTTAAAATCTAATTATAAAAATGAAGAAGTGTATTAGCATAACAACTAACTTTCCATCTTTGTTCTTGTAATTTAACCAACAATTATATTTTTTTTATTTTGCTGTTTTTCCTGATATTTTAGACACTAAACAATTAACTGATTGATAAAATAAACTCTGCCAATAGTTAAAGTTGTTGTTTGTTTCAGGCTGTGGTAGACTCATACTGCTGTGTTTAATTAAATTAGTCAAATAAAGTTGTGTAATATTAACCTTAACATCTAAATTAGTAGCACACATTTGAATAATAATATTGTGGCGTCTTCACAATAATATTGAAACCTGTTTGATCCAGTTTCTGTACTCTAAAGCATCACGTTTGTTGGATAAAATTCATCTTGTTTTTGAAAATATGCTTAAAAGCATTCTTGCAGCCGGATAGATGAGATTAGTGCCACTTTTGTTTACATTTGTAGTTAGCTTAGCATCCCCGCTACGTCCCCTAGTTGTCATTTTTCCATGTCTGTTTGCGTACAGGACGATAAAACACGTGAACCAGTGAGATTTAAACAGATGTAGATGTTAAATGTAAGTGGTCGGGCTCTCTGCACTGTCATGAATATCAGGAGGAGTTTTAATGCAGGAATGTAAATATCACTGAATGTAATCCTTTCTCGTGTGCAGCAGCAAGAGACAACCACTGATTATGTCGCTGGGTGATGCTGTTGCCAGTAGGTGGCGCTGTGATCGTAACTTGTTCATGTGTTCAGTCTTGGATTTTTATCTACCGGAACAAATCTCGGATAAATCCGACAAAGTACGTTGGAGTTACAACAGCTCCAGTTTTCATAGCGAGACGTTGCTAGTCTCAACGCGCCATCAACGTAAATTCAGTTCTGCATCGTGAAACCCTTTAGGTTGGGTCGACCACAGATTATGTCCATCTGACTCATTCTGTAGAAGGAATTCAATAAAATGCCGTGAATGCCGCCTGTGAGTGAAGAAAAACAGCACCAAAACGGCTCGTTAAATTCAAGATGGCCGACTTCTGCTGGGTTTAGGCTTTTATTCGTACATCTTTGGATTTTCATGTGGCCGCCGAATTTCAGACATGGAGGTAAAACATAGACAGGAGACTAAAATATGATCGGGGGAGCTATGGAGCCAGCTGTGTAAAGAAGTTTAATTAGTTTTTCAATCATGTTCTGCTCTTAAAATCACGATTCACTGTCACTGCTGTTCCTCTGTTGTGTCGTCGTCTTCAGCAAAGTTTGCAATTATTGTCTGAAAAAGCCCAATTGAAATGAACCCAAAGTTAAAATACGAGGTTTTGCTCGGGAGGAATGGGTTAACGAAAAGAAAAGTCCCAAAGCTGCTAAACACGGCGGTGGAATCATCATGCTGATAGAGGGTAGAATAGATTCACCAGACGGTAGCGAACAAGACGAAGACATGACAGCGTCTGCAAAACGGATGAATGCTTCTACAACAGGCTCAACATCCTGAAAACGTCTCAAAATCCAGCCGCACGTAAGAAACCTTTAGCCGAGAAAACGGTTTTGAATGCGCTCAGTCATTTGTAGGGAGAACTGAAGCTTTCTTTCCATTTTTAGAAACGAGCACGGCAGCAGCTCTTCCCACATCTCGTCTTTTCTGTGGCGATAGCGCTGTCAGAGTGACATCTGTATCTCAATTACACAATAACTTCCCGTCCCACGGAGAGGATCCGATATTAAAGTGTCACCTCGGGCCTTTGGGAGTATTTATCGTGTCGATCTGGATCCTGTCATGCAGATTTAGGGCCTGACAGATTGTGCAACGTGAGCCCTGAACCAGCAGGACGAGTCCCAACAGCTCTGCGTGTCACGGTCATGTTTTACCAGCAAGGAGACACTAAATCAACGGTGAAGCTCGTACACG